ATGTTAATTCTACTGTTGTTGTTGTTGGTGTTGTTGTTGTTGTTGTTCTTCTTCTTCTTCTTCTTCTTCATCTTCTTCTTCTTCTTCCATCTTCTTTTGCTGTCTTTTATCTTCTTCGACTTCTTCGACTTCTTCTATCTTCTTCTTCTTCCATCTTTTTTATCTTCTTTTTCGTCCATCTTCTTCTGTTCTTTTTCTTCTATCTTCTTCTTCCTCTTCGTTTCTATCTTTTATCTTCTTCTTTGTCTTCTTCTTCTTCTTCTTCTTATCTTTTTCCATCTTCTTTTATCTTCTTCTTCAATTTCTTCCATCTTCTTCTTCTTCTTCTTCTTCTTCTTCTTCTTCTTCTTTCCCTTCTCATATTTTTTCTTCTTCCATCTTCTTTTCGATCTTCTTCTTTTTCTAATCTTCTTCTTCTTCTTCTTCTTTTTTTCTTCTTCTTTTTTCTTCTTCTTCTTCTATCTTCTTCTTCTTCTACTTCTTTGTCCATCTTTTCTTTTATCTTCTTCTTCGGCCTCTTTGACTTTTTCTTCTATCTTCTTTTTCGATTACTTCGACTTTTTCATCTTCTTCTATCTTCTTTTACCTTCTTTTTCTTCTTCTTCTTCTTCTATCTTCTTCCATCTTCTTCTTTTATCTTCTTCTTCTTCTTCGATTTCTCCTTCTTCTTTCTAATTATCATTTCTTTCTTCATCAAAGCCTAATATGGCTAAAGTTTCTTTTTCTTTCTTCTTCTATTTTCATTCTTCTTTTAATTATTCTTCAAATTATTTTTCTCAAACTAATTCATTTTAATTCAAATCTTTTTTACTATCTTCTTCATTTCAGTGACCTCTTAGTAATAGTTTTCTTCTTCATTCTTTTCTATTAGAGTCATTCAATTAACTTCATTATATTCATCTTCTTCTATTTAGTTCTTCTTTTACTGATATTGTGGTACTGTTTCTTCTTCTGGTTATGTTTATATTTCTTCTTCTATCATTCGTCATCATCATCTTCATCCCCAAGCAGCAAGGACAAAGCCAATAAGATGTAAGAGTTTTCTGATAGTGAAAGAATATGATAAAAACAACAAAAAAAAACATATTAAGGAGAGGAAAATCATTGTTCTTCAATAGACGTTTCCTTCTTCGTCTTCTTTTCATCTAGAAATTTCAAATGTAATCATTATCTAGTATATTCTTTAATGTACCAAATAGGAAAACTCATTAGAACAAATTACACATATTATTATTATTATTATTATTATTTCCTTTGGTTTCAACATTTCTTTGTTTCACCATTTCAAGCCCTTTGTCGTTATGGCTAAGTTACTGAAAATCCTCAACGACAACAGGGATTGCTGATGTTTCAATTTCGATTTCAAGACTTGTCGATCTTTATTTTCAGAGAATTTTTTCTTTTTTTGTTTGCGGTCTCTAATAACAATGTTTACATTTGATTGTTTCTTTTTAATATTATTATTATTAATTATTTCCTTTTATTTCTGGTGTATATTCATTACAGCTCATAAAAACCTAATCATCATAGTAACAATAACTATCAATTATATTACTACTATTAATTCAAATCATTAATATTACATAAGCAGTTACTATCCTATAAATGTTACTAGTCACAGAACATTTTCCAATTCAACTGAAATTATTGATTTAACAAGTTTTTTGACGTTTTTTTTCTCTCACTAGTATATCTCTTAAAGTAGAAACTGCCGCGTCTGTTAAAGTCTGCAGAAACTGTCAAATATTATTATTATTATTATTATTATAATTATTATTATTATTTATAATAGGTTTGTTAATTTTCCAGAGGTTATTTCAAAATTGCATTTGCTATTACAGTCATCATTAATTTCCATCTTATCTTCCAGCGATATAGCCTCATGCTTATAATTCGGAAATTATTGGCAGTCATTATATTCAAAATAAGTGAAAAACAACGCACGAGTGTCGCCTGTCGGAAGGAATTTGGAAAATGTTTTCTTTTTATGCTGTTTTGTTTTTTAGTTATTATATAATATATATATATATATATATTATATATATATATATATATATATATATATATATATATATATATATATATATATATATATATATGATAGTGATTTTTTAGTGATTTTTATTCATGGTAAATTTGAATATATATATATGTATTCTAATCGTTTCTGTTATTTTTCTTTTTGACGTTTATTTTTATTATAGGCTACTAATTGAACGCTACTATAGCATCATCGTCATCATCATCGTCATCATCCCCAAGCAAGGCGACAAAGCCAATAAGATGTAAGAGTTTTCTGATAGTCCAAAAGAATATAAATATACGCTACCCGGAATAAATGTTCTTGTCCGTGCCTTTCTCGGAATACCCATTAAAACATAGTACAAAAAAAAAACAATTATGAGGGTGGGAAGGAGCATTTCAGTTGAAAAAAAGACCATTGTTCTTGGAGACAGAAATATGACAATAGACGTTACATTTAAATTTTAGAAGATAAAATTTGACTGGAAAGTAATCCAAAACTGGCTGAAGAGAGTTACAAAAGCCGGCATCCCTTTATGGGGAAGTCATTGCGAGGAAGACAGTCAAACAAACTGTTAACGATTTCAGTAGTATAAAAAATAATGTTTAATTAAAAAACAGAACTTACGAATATGTTATCCATCAAAATTTCAATAAAAAAATGAGATTTAATCCGATCTGCCAATCTAGTAGTATGTATTAAAGTCGATGTACCAAATAGGAAAAACTCATTAGAACAATTACCACAAAAATATTTATAGAAAATAATAATAATAATAATAATAATAATAATAATAATAATAATAATAATAATAATAAATAAGCCGGTTTTTACAAAAATGTCAAAAGAAGATGTCACCATTCTGTAACCGGGGATTATACCATCCACACAGACAGAAAAATTGAAGCAAATAGGTATTTGGACATTATTGTCAAAAACCAGAAAGAAAAAGCCTTCAGTTTGCCTACTAATTGATATGTTATTGTCCAATTGCGGATTGTAACATAGCGGAAAACCAAGGAATTTGAAAAAACTATCAAAATACAAAAGCGCATTGTGATAGCGAAAGACCTCCAAAAGAAATTGAAATAGTTAAAAAAATGTGGAAATTTGAAAACAAGAATAATACCAGTGGTAATATGGTGTTCCAGAACTTGGAATTATCGAAAAAATGGAACAAAACAACACATTGAAACAAATCCTGAAACCCCAGCTTAAGAGACATACAGAAAATTGTCTTATTAAGCTTGAAGACAGCTTACACACACTAAGGAAGAACTTTGTCATATTTTAAAAAAAAAATGTTTATGCTCTATGTAACGCTAGGCAACTTCATCGGAGATAAAAAAAAAAAAAAAAAATTAACATGAAATGTGTTAAGCATTCCATAACAACACCACGACCTGCCTTAGGTCTTTTGGCAGACTTGGTAGGTAGTGTGTCCATAGCTTTTATATAAAATATATATATATATATTTATTTGTGACTATAAATCAAATGTATCTTTTATCGTATTTGCTATATTAAATATTATTTATTTTATTAATATAATTACTATAAACTCATTAATAGAAACAAAGAAAAATGTACTAAACTATTACGTGATATCTGTACTCCTGGTACAACAGAAACGTGGTTCTACAGAAGGTTGCTTGGAATACCATGAACTGAACATGTGCACAACAATGAAGTTTTAGAGTAAATGGAAACAAAAAGGATACTTTTACTTAGCATCAGGGAAAGACAGTTAAAATTCTTAGGGCTCATAATGAGGAAAATGGGCTTGGAAGTTTTGGTACTCACAGGGAAAGAGGAACAAATGAAAGCAGCATATAAACTACCTTGCAATCTTGGGCAAATGGATGGGGTAAGAAGGTTTAGGAAAGATAACAAAAAGAAAATTTATTAAAAGCTACAAAGGACAGGAAATTGTGGAGAGACATGATCACCAACTTCCTGAAGGAACATTGCACATAAAAGAAGTCGTAGTTATTGCTAATAGTATTAAGAGGAAAAAATTCTTAGTTGTAGTGATGGTGATGATCACAGTGTTTAGATGTCAGTCATATATATTTTGACATAGTATTAGCTTTCTGATGGAGAAACGTTGGACGCTGACATAGGTCAAACCTCACGGTGCCTTTGTAGATATGTAGAATAGGCTTAAGGACATACAAGTACAAATACATTCAAACAGGCTCGGGCGTAGGCTAAAAAAACGCACGGAGCGGAGACAGAGAGAAAACATGTGTAAGCATATCAACACAGACACACATAGAAAGGGACGAAAAACATATACATAACATGCATGTGCACATGCAGAATAGTGAATACATGGCTGTAACATACACTTGTTCATACCGATACGCATATATATCTATATACACATACACACACGATCTAAAATAAATAAATAAAAAATAAACACATGCGACACACGCTTGAACATACACATACATACACGGCATAAGAAATACACATGCAACATAAACGTACATATACAGCATAAATATACACAAAACACACCAAATTAAAGCATATGCACAACTTAAATGCACATTCAACATAAACGTACATATACAGCATAAATATACACAAAATAAACACACATACACACACCAAATTAATGCACAGGCACAAATTAAATGCACACATGATAAAAAACGCTTAAAAATACATACACGCACACACCACAAAACATAATTCGAACACATGCATATAAAATATATACATGGATAAATGTACATACACGTACGCACAAAACATAAGCAAAGGCACAAGCACACACGCGTGCACATTAACATTCAAGCATACATCCACATACACCTAGATTTCTGTAAAAGAAGCACATACTCACGCGCATGTAAATACACACCTACACACTACAAAAGACAGTCACAGTAATGCGTGGAAAACACGCAAACACTCGTAAACAAGAAAATATACATGAACGAAAAGTGACTGGACAGGCAGCAGA